GGAGACATCTTGTCAAACATATGGTGTTCCAAATGTAATAGTGCTAAATATTTAATATTCCACAATGGTTTGCCACAAATCAAATTGCGAAGAGTTGTAGGCAAACCACCAACTCCCATAGCAGGGGTAAGTTCCACTTCAGCTTTTCTAAAATAGTTTTATTTTCTCTGTTGATTAGCTTTCTATCCAAATAATTCATTGGTCTTATTTTCCATTGAGAAGAAATATACATACTGCTAAAAAAAAAGATCAATTAATTTCTGCTTAAAACCCCCATATCAGAGTGTTTGTTCCTTTGAGTCCATTTTTCTAATTATCCAAGGCTCACTTTCCCTTGTCTTTCTCCATCATAATAGCCACCATGCCTTTAAAAGAAGTCAATTGAATTTCTACGTTTTTAACTTGCTAATTCGTGGTGTTTTTTCCTCATGCAATTGCCTCACCTAGACCCATACAGAGTAATAATAGTTCATAATAATAAAATGTCACATGCCATGAACTCGGTATATACCATTTGTTAAGCATTTGCATATCTTATCTCTGATTGTCATATCAACTCTACCTGTAGGTATTGTTATCTGTTTTAACAATCGGGACAGAGTCAGAGAAGCTCAGTGACTTGATCAACATCACACAGCTTATTAACCAGCATAGACCTGATTTAATTCACATCCTTCAGTGTATGAAGTTCATGCAGTGCAGCAACTGCTCAGAAACCCATGTGGAAGCCACACTCACATTGTAGTCTCAAAGTCAAAAGGCTAAAACAGCTATGTGGTACAGGGGGAAAGCAAAACTATTTAGAGAGCCCTCTAAGCAACTGAATGGATACATCAGATAGAAGAATTTGTTTCGGAGGTCATGACCCACATTTTTTTCTATTAATCTACTATCCAAGTCTGAACATTAAAAAGTAAGCTAAACTAAGTTAAAATATAAAGAACAATGAAGCGCATCAACCTAAAAACTTCAACTTAAAAAATAATAAATTTGCAGACATAGAAAACTTGCAAAATGTTGTATACCTTCATCCACCTTCCCCTAATTTCAGCATCTTATGTAACTATAATACAATAATCAAAATTAAGAACCTAATAGGAACACAATATTACTAACTAAAGCATAGACTTAAACTGGACTTCATCAGTTTTCCCACTACAGACACTTCTCTGTTCCACAATCCAGTCCAGGACCCCACATGGCTTTAGATGCATCTATCTAAACTGAGTTTCCCAGTCTTTCCTTGCCTTTCATGACCTTTGTGCCTTTGAAGAGTACTGATGAGCTACTACAAAGAATTTCTCTTCATTTTGTCCGATATTTTCTCAGAATTTGAAGGGGGTTAGGCATTCTTATGAAGAACACCCCAGAGGCCATGCCCTTCTCAGGGCATGAATCAGGTGTGCATGATGTTGTTCATCTTTTTACTGGTGATGTTAACCTTGATCCCTTGCTTCAAGTGACAGCTGCCAGGTTTCTTCACTGTAAAGTTATTCTTTTACCCTTTGTAATCAAAATCTATCAAGGAGTAGGGGAAATACTTTGAGACTATGAGAAATATCCTATTTCTCCTCAAGCTTTTGCCTACTAATGTCAGCATTCATCCATAGATCTTGCCCACAATGATCATTATCACAGTGTTCTAATGGCAGTTTTTTTCATTTCTCTCATTCCTTCCATGTATTATTTGTAATTCCTCTGTAAGAAAGAGCTGCTCCTTTTCCCTCTTATTTATTTATTCAGTTAATCTATTTATATCAGTAGGAACTCACAGAACTTTATTCTAGGGATTATAATTCAATGCTACTGTTATTTATTGTTGCCACTCCTGTTGTTCCAGTTTGGGCCACTGAAAGTTCTTTCAGGATGGCTCTGTGCCTTTCCTAGGGCCCTATCTTCTAGCTTTATCAGCACTTTCTTATTTTCTGGCACCAGAAGATGCTTCAGATTCATCTTGAGATTTCCCTATCCCAGCCTTAGAATCAGCCATTTCTGCAAGGAGCCCTTGTTCCTTTTGTTGGGCAATGGTATTTAGAAACCAAGATCTAAATGGTAATGGCAGGAGAGTTGACGTGGGGTGGTACATACACAATACAATAGAAAGATGATGTATTGTATAACTGTATACCTGAAACCTCTCTAATTTTATTAACTAATGTCTCCTCAATAAATTCAATTAAGAATTAAATAAAAATTATTGATTCTTAAAAAAAAGAAACCAAGATCTAGGAGAGCTAGGTGTGTTCATTGCTACTGTGATGTCATTGCTTCTAGGACATCTCAGTGGACAGAACTGATAAATATATGTAGTATACTAGCCCACATATACACACACCTGTATTTATTTCTATATTTATGCATGTTTTTAAAATCATGAGTTCATATTGATATCTGATTCCAATTCTGAACACTTCTTCTAATGTTTTATCCAGTATCTCCCCAATGAGAGAGTCAAAAGAAACAAAAAAAGGCTAATGTGTTTAAGTGGTTTCCAGCTATTGTCTAGGCAATGGGTTCACAAACTATGGCCAATTGCCTATTTTTGTAAAATACTTTTACTGGAAAAAAGTTTTTTTGTTTTGGAGCACAGCCACATCCATTACTTTAGATATTATCTCTGGCTGCTTTCCATAATTGAAAGAATAATAAAGTAATTACGACAGAGGCTGTGTGGGTCACAAAGCTGAAAATATTTTCTAGATGGTCCTTGACAGGAAAAGGTTAGATATCTCTGATCCAGACTGTTTCATGTGGGAGGTGAAGTGGAAAGAGCATGGGTTCAAATCCCATCCTTCCTTCAACAATTACTAGCCATGTGGCCTTTGGCAAGCCACAGACCCTCTCTGCACCTCAGTTTTCTCCTTCCTTATAGTATTTTGGGGGAGACTAGAGGCCATTCAGTAAAATTCCTGGCACATGATAGATGCTCAACTAATAGTACTTAGAATTACCTCTGTAGGTTGGCTATTTAGAATTTAAGATGGAATTCTACACACAAAGAAATCTATTTTCAAGGGTGGTTCATGACCGACACAGTCCACAGACTGTTTGGCATGGATTAGGGTTTAAACCATAATCCCAAGTGTAAGTACTCACTGCGTCACTTACTAGCTGTGAGACCTTAGGCAACTAAGACCGTCTTTGAGCCCGTTCCCCTCTCCATATAAGGGCAATGCCTTTGTGGCCATAAAAGTTATACCTAAGATGACTTTATGCCACGGTCCCCAACACTGACAGGAGACCAAAGCTGTAGTCTGTATCAAAAGCAGAATTAGGATGAGTTAGAACACATGTTCCTGGCCCTACACCCAGGATTCTGGTTCAGGAGATCGAGAACAGGGTCCACACTAAGCACATTTAGCAAACCCCCAAGGGGATTTTGTTGCAGGGCCAGGTCTGTGAACCACTGTTAATCAATCAGTGGTAAATGCCACACGTCCCCTCTGCAGCCTCATGTCAGCCCTACACACTCATCAGTGTCCTGTACCTTCCTCTCACTCAGGCTTGGCCCATTAAAGGTGCTACAGAAGAGCACAACCCCCTTCTGAGACACCACATTTTATTTTTTAGAGAAGATTAGGTCTTACTGGACTCCTAAAGCTAGTAAGACTCTCCATGTTTTAGAAGAAAATCTAATCTATTCCTCAGACAGGTTCATTCTCCACCTCCCTCCCCAAAGTACAGGCTTCTCCTCATTGTATCAGGTCAGTAAACATAAAATCAAGAGCCAGGTGGTGCCCTGACTGGTGTGGCTCAGTTGATCGAACATTGTCCCACAAAGCAAAGGATTGCAGGTTCAATTCCCAGTCAGGACCCATGACCCCATTGTGGGTTTGGTCCCCAGTGAGGGTGCATACAGGAGGCAACAGACTGATGTTTCTCTCACATATGGATGTTTCTCTCCCTCTCTTTCTCCCTCCCTTCCCCTCTCTAAAAATAAATAAATAAATAATCTTTAATAGAAAAACACCCAGCTGATGTTCTATGTAGAGGAAAAAGATGACCAGGGACACTAGTAAGAATGAGAAAAAATTAAGGAAGTCTGAGGAGACCTGTCCCACCATCCTGGACCACCCCTAGCTGAGCCTTTCACACTGCCCTGCTTGGCAGTGGGGCAGGGTAAGAGGCAGATACAGGACCTCCTAACTCATACGTGGGACCTGCAGCAGGTGGTGGGAGCTGGGGTGGAGATTCCTGGGCCTTTTGGAAGTGAGGAACACACATCATTTTGACACTGTGACATATGCCAAACCTGAACACAGTTAATAGGCTAGTACACCAACTCAAAAGGCAAGACTTCCTGCTCACTCTTGAACACCAGCAGAGACCAGAAAGGAGAGGTGATTCTGAGAGCAGGAATACAACAGGGGCTGTCAAATGCAGCGGTGCTCAAGCAGCAGCTTTTCAAGTATCATAACCCTTCACCTGCCAATGCTTTTTAAAATTGAGGTGGCATTCACATAACGTATAACTACCCATTTTAAAATGTGTGTTTCAGTGGCATTGAGTATTTTCAATATTGTATAACCACCATCTATGTCAAGTTCCAAACATTTCCGTTACCCCAAAAGAAACCCTTGTACCCATTAAGTGTTCACTGCCCTGTTCTCCTGTGTACCAGTAGCTTTTTATACTGAGAAGTGGATTTTCTCTGTGAGATTACATGTAGCCACTATTTGAAGAGCTTTGGCAAACTTGGGATTCAAAAGGCACAGGAACATTTTGTCTTCAACCAAGTGGGAGTAACTTCTGGAAAGGCCTAAGGTAAGTGTTCTCTTCTCTTGCCACACCCCATCCAGTGAGAACAATACCAGACTCCAACACACACACAGGCAGGCACACACACACAGACACACCAGGGTGGTTGGTTTCATGTGGTCGATATCCATCAATAACCATGAGAACAAGAGTGCATCACAACTGGTCTCAGAGAAACCTCTTCAGCACCCCACAGCCTGAGTGACTCCCCCAAACGTGTTCAGAGAGAAATCAGCTCTTACCCGTTGCTTGTCTGGGTCCACGTAACGAATGCCGAAGTAGTCCTTCTCCAGCAAGCTGTAGTAGTTGCAGATGTGGTCGATAAGAAACTGCCCTTTGGTCTCCCTCTGCAAAGGAAGCACATTTAAGTTTCAGCCACAGCTCGCCTTGTGCACTCATGCTAAAATGTGCCTCATTCACCCTGATACATCTGTTCTTAGATAAATAGATTCACTCTCCTCTCCAGCCCTTAGAGAGGGGCTTCCAAATTCTTTTAACTACAATCCACAGTGAGAACATATTTCATATTGTAAGCCATGACACACATATACACACATGCCCACACCAAACAAACACTGAAAAGGACACCAAACAACACCTTGCATAAATGCAGTGCATTCTAATATGTTCTATTTTATTCTATTACATGTCATTTGATTTTTCTAATGCTATTTATGATTCAAAACACTGGAAACATACCGTGTTCATGGATTGGAAAAATTAACATCATCAAAATGTCCAAACTACCCAAAGCAATTTACAAATTCAATGCAATACCTATTAAAGTACCAATGGCATATTTCACATAGAACAAACACTTCAAAAATTTATATGGAATCATAAACGACCCCAAATAGCAGCTGCAATTTTGAGAAAGAAGAACAAAGTAGGAGGGATCACAATACCTGATACCAAACTGTCTTACAAGGCCACTGTAATCAAAACAGCCTGGTATTGGCATAAAAACAGGCACATAGACCAATGGAACAGAACAGAGAGCCCGGAAATCAACCCAACTCTCTACGGTCAATTAATATTTGACAAAGGGGGCTGCAACATAAATGGAGTAAAGATAGCCCTTCAACAAATGGTGTTGGGAGAACTGGACAGCTACGTGCAAAGAAATGAAACTTGAGCACAAACTTACACCATACACCAAAATAAATTCAAGGTGGATAAAAGACTTAAATATAAGCTGTGACACCATTAAAGTCCTAGAGGAGAACATGGGCAAGAAAATCTCAGATATTTCACGCAGCAACATTTTTACCGATATGTCCCCTAGAGCAAGGGACATAAAGAAAAAAACAAATGGGATCTCATCAAAATAAAAAGCTTCTGTGTGGCTAAAGGAAACAGTACTAAATTAAAAAGAGAACCAACTGTATGGGAAAACATATTTGCCAATTGATACCTCAAACAAAGGTTTAATCTCTAAAATATGCAAAGAACTCACATGACTCCACTTTAAGAAGACAAGCAACCCAATTAAAAAATGGACAAAGAACTTTTACAGACACTTCTCCAAGGAGGACATACAAAATATCCAGAGACACATGAAAAGATGCTCAATATTGCTAGCAATCAGAGAGATGCAAATTAAAACCACAATGAGATACCACTTCACACTGGTCAGAATGGCCATCATAAACAAAGCAACAAACAACAAATGTTGGAGAGGTTGTGGGGAGAAGGGGATCCTAGTTCACTGTTGGTGGGATTGTAGACTGGTACAACCATTATGGAAAACAGTATGGAATTTTCTAAAAAAACTAAAAATGAATATGCCTTTTGACCCAGCAATTCCACTGTTAGGAGTATATCCTAAGAACCCTGAAACACCAATCCAAAAGAACCTATGCACCCCAATGTTCATAGCAGCACAATTTACAATAGCCAAGAGCTAGAAGCAACCTAGGTACCCATCAGTAAATGAATGGATCCCAAAACTATGGTACATATACACAATGGAATTCTATGCAGCAGGAAGAAAGAAGGAGCTCCTACCCTTTGCAACAGCATGGATGAACTGGAAAGCATTATGCTGAGTGAAATAAGCCAGGCGGTGAAAGACAAATACCATATAATCTCACCTTTAACAGGAAGCTAAACAACGAAACAAGCAAGCAAAATAAAACAATGACACTGAAATAGAGAATGGGGACAGCAACCAGAGGGGAGAGGGGAGAGAATTTCAGGGGAAAAGGGGAAGGATTCACAGGAACAAGTATAAAGGACACATGGACAACAACTAAGGGGGTTGAAATGGGAGGGAGGTGGGGAGTACTGGGGGGTGGGCTGGGATGGGAGTAAAAGGCAGAAAACTGTATTTGAACAACAATTAAATTTAAAAAATGCTTTAAAAAACCCAAAACACTGATTTCACAACTCAGTACCTAGAGGAGACCCACAGTTTGCAAATCCACATACAATGCACCCAACTGCTTGCTTCAGTCGCTCTGTATTCATTCATTCAACCCCCACTATCCTATGAGGAAGGTCCTGATTTTGCATCTGAAGAAACTAAGGCACAGACAGGCTCTGTGGCTTGACCAAAGTCATACAACATATATCCAGCAAGGTATGATTTGGCCCAGAACACTGAACTGTAGAATGCTGGCTCCTACACCACGCCATTTTGTCTCCCTGGAGCATCGGTGAGTCCACTGCAACTCTGCTAGAAGGCAGGGTCTGGATGGCAGAGAAATGCAGTGAATGGTGTCTGACAGAATGCTCTTCACAGCCACTATATTGCATCCTGAGATCAACACAGAAATGCATCTTGGGAAACTGGGGGGAGCCCAGGCCTGGAATTCAAAGACAACCTCCAGTGACCCTGGCAAACTCCCCGGAAGTAAAATAAGAGGGTTGTATGAGTCAATTTCTAAGCTAGTTAGATTATTTTCCCTTGTAAAATTCTGTAAGTGAAAGATGTGTCAGCCAAATCTGATTAAGATAAATACCATTACAACAAAACCCTTTTAACAGCAAAGACCCTTCCACGCCCTGGGCAGGATATTGGATAAGATCAATTTCTGCTTCAATCAAAGGCGCTGCTGACAGACCCATGGAATGGTTTAGGGATAGAATGTGACCTATGAAAATAAATGAAGAAATTAGAAACATTAAGTGAGCCACTGTCCCAAATCCACTAAAAGTAATTTTGGAGGATCAGTTTGGTCTATGTTACGTGATTATCTTTTCATTAGAAACTAGTACCATCAGCCTGGGAAAATGATGAAAAAGCCACTTGCTGGCCTGGGGTTCACTGCACTGAATGAAAGACTACGGCTTTATTATTTTAAATATTTTACCTAGTTTATTTTTAGAGAGAAGAGAAGGAGAAAGAAAGCAAGAGGAACATCTATTGGTTGCTTCTCATGTGGGCCTCAACAGAGGACCAAACCCACACCCCAGGCCTGTGATTTTCACCCATCTTGTGACATGAAGCCCATTAATTTCCCTAAAATTACTTTGCATTTAATTTTCAACGAGCTTTGAGTCTTTACCTCCTTTCTGAGAGAACCTATTTGATGTAGCTCAAAAATGACAAAACATCAAAATGAAATTTGTTTTGACTTCTCTAATTGTTTTTAACAGAGAGGCCCAAATAACCAACTATATCTGATGACAGCTAAAGCCAATACCCAGAATATAATCAATGGTTTTAGTTCCTTTTACAGATTTAATCTGTAATCCATCCATTTTAAAGAGGCTGCTGCAGAATCAAATCACTGGACAGAATACAAGCTCATCATTTTATGATTGGGTTACCAAGCTTTCTGCAGGGATCACTGGTGAACTGGTTCTCCCATGCCCCCCCCCATGCACGACACCAGATATGCAAGTCGAGGTAGAGCCTTATAATGGCGTGGGATTAAGCAGATCTTGATTTTGCATGACAGCTACTATTAGCATTTTTCCCTGAAGAAGATACATTGCAAAGCACAAAAAAGATTTTTTTAAATGATTAAACACAGCAACCAATAAATACTCTCTGGCAATATCCCTTTAGACTACCTAAGGCCCTTGAGAGAAGGAAGTGCCACTGTAGACAATGTGGCGACTGCAGTGTGCAGTGGCTGAAGCAGGGATCAACACCTTCCACAAAGAAGGTGAGGCCAGTTCCCATATTTCCAGGCCACCAGGTGAGTTTTTTGGTCTCTGTTCCTCAAAGCACCTCCCTCAACATCCCCAGGAGGGAGCTTGTTGGAAACAGAATCCCAGACACAGCCCCAGACCTACTGAACCCAACCTGCAGTTTGGCAAGATCCTCCAGTTAGTCCCATGTTCATTCAAGTTTGAGCAGCATTAGTCTAGGGAAGTTACCTCAGCCTTGGAGAAGGGCAAAATTGTGCCTGTCTCCAGGAGTCACTAGAAAATAAAAAGACCATTTTCCCTTAGAATTATCTATTCTTCAACTCAGAAAAATCAAAGTGTGTCCCAGCCTTGGCAACACAAACTGCTGGCCCGCCTCATCATCCTGAGACATTTCATGTCACTGCTTCCAGCTCAGGAAGCCAGTTTACGGCCTCCCATTCTGTTCTGTTTCATGTTTGCCTAGAAGTCTGGACAGTGTTCTTAAGCCATTTAAGTTCCTATTATCAGCATTTCTATGCAATAAACCTAGCTCTAGCACTAAACCAAAGGCCACCCAGGCTCAGTCCCAAGGGCTGGCTATACTCGTTCAAGGTCAGGTGTGAGACTCACTGCAGGGCAGGGGCTTAGGGAACACTGGTTCTGCCCCCTATCTCCCAAACCTGGACATCTAGTGGACAGACCTAAAACCCCCACTTGCTTCTTCCTGAGGTTGCTGAGGGTGGAGGCCACTCTTCTGCTGCCTAAGCTAGTGCCTGGCACACCGAATGTTACTGAATTAATAAAGCGAGCACTGCTTTCTGTCACGGAGAGCCTGAGATCTGAGACAGACTGTGAGCCACAGGCAAGACAGTCAAGTCCTCGTATTGGAGACTCCTCAAACACAGTGGAATTAGCCAACTTTCACCTAAATCCTCCCAGGTCTACATGGGGAAGTGGTTAGCAAAGATTTCAAGTACAATGACTTTTTTTCATGTCAAAATTCTGTTGATTCTCACAAGATAGCAGTTTCAATACCAACTGAATAGGGAAAAGAAATCAGGCTGCTAATATAGATTCCTTAGAGCTGTTACCTAAGTTGTGTTCTATTAACCAAAATACTTCATACATGTGAAAAAGAGCAGGACATAAATATGTGAGCGGGGCCTCGATGTGCCTTAGGCATCAAGTTCTGATGAATCTCTAAATGAGGTTATATGGTCTCGAAAATGTACTGACATGGTTGAAAGAGAAATCTGCTCACCACACA